GCCTTAAGTTTTTACCAAATGAATTACACGACTCGAAACATTGATTTAAAAGGAATTGACCTGAATTTCTAACTAAACTTTCTAACTTGCGTGAACCTATTTTGTATGGAAAAAGGCCAAAAAGGGGTAGTAGCACCATGTTTTTTCTTATAACTTGATCACTAATCGCTGAATAACTTTATAATTTTAGCATTAAGCTTGTAAGTTTTTGAGAATAATCTATTTAAAATTTCATTTAAATATATTGATCCTATGCTGAGATATTAGCAATTTAAGAAAGGGTCAGGACTTAGTTTACAACCAATAACTACCAATTATTGAAATGTTACCTTTTTCTATGTCGAGCTCCCATATTTTCTGCAAATCGAGTGAAGAATTGAGAAGTGTTCGATTTTCTACTGAAATAAGTTTGAGAATAATAGTGTTGGACAGAAAATGGACTTTATTTGACTAATAAACCTTGCTGATTTTCAAAAATGATAAAAACCGAGCAGATTTGTGCAATAATTTCCAATATTCTAAGGTTTTGCCAGTTTTTAGGCAATTTAGGCTTTCAACAAGCCACCAGCATTTGCAAGCCTATTAATTGACAATATATTGGGTTGGTGAATTGAAAACTGCCGTCTATTGTCATATGTGACAGTTTGAGCACTTTCTTCAAAAGAAACCCATTTTGGTGTCAATGGAAAAGTTGTAGAGAATCAAAAATCAAGCTTATATCCAAATTTTGAGAACGATTCAAAAACTGGTTTTCAAGAAATACCAAATTTACGAACTTTCACAAAAATTGCATTTTAAGCGAAACTACTAAGTGTATCTTTTTGGAAATTTCGCTATAAGCCTAATTTTTGATTCTCTACAACTTTTCTATTGACACCAAAATGGGTTTCTTTTGAAGAAAGTGCTCAAACTGGGACATTGAAACATCTCCAGTCCTCCATTTTTGAGTCTCACACTTGTCTCACACACTTGTACTGGGAGCGGCTGGATAGCAAGGCGACCGTTAATGCAATCAAATACAGTGGACAGTTGGGAAAGGTGAATGAATCCCTGAAGAAGAATAGGCCCTCCAAGTCAAAGATCGTTCTCATCCACCAAAACGCGCGCCCTCACGTTGCAAAACTGACTTGCTCTAAAATAAACAGCCTTGTTCGGGAACTTTTGGCGCATTCCCCATAAAGTCCGGACCTCGCCCCTTTTGATTACTATTTATTCCGGATCATGAGTAATGAGCTTGCGGGAGAACACTTCGATTCGGAAGAAGCAGTCAAAAATTGGCTTTGAAAGTTTTTCGATTCAAAACCAAAATCCTACTACGAAAGAGGAATCCGCAAATTGCCTGTAAAATGGGCAGAAGTCGTCAATAATAATGGAAATTATTTGGAATGAATTCATGGTTTTATGTTGGATAAATTTTAGTTCAAAGTCCGGCAGTTTTCAATTCACCAACCCAATACCAATTATTGAAATGTTACCTTTTTCTAAGTTGAGCTCCCATGTTTTCTGCAGAAACGAGTGGAGAATTGAGAAATGTTCGATTTTCTGCTGAAATAAGTTTGAGAATAATAGTGTTGAACAGAAAAATGAACTTTATTTGATTAATAAACCTTGCTGATTTTCAGAAATGATAAAAACCAAGCAGATTTGTGCAATAATTTCCAATATTCTAAGATTTTGCCACTTTTTAGGCAATTAAGGCTTTCAACAAGCCACCAGTATTTACAAGCCGGGTAATTGACAATATATTTTCCTCTTTATTAGTTATAATCTCCTCTTTTTATGCGAGAAGCAGATCATCTATTTGAAAATACAATTTCATCTTTTAAATAAGTTTATTTATAATAACAAGTAGGAATTTCTATAGTTTCATAACATTCTTTAATATTACTCACACAAAAAATAACCTTTTTAAAAATTTTCTGTAAAAACAAACGATTCTGTGTTTTGTTCTATGGAAACAATATAACTAAAACAAAAAAAAATGCAAAGAGAAAGGCTCAAGCTTTATTTAAGGACGCTGCTTTTTCAAAACAAAACAATTGCAACCATCTCTTGCTTTATCACAACAAATATTTGACTAAACATGGCTAGAAAGATCATGCTTTTCTTTCTCCAACTCATCTTTGTTGCAGACGTTGTTGTTGCAGAGTTACAGACGCGCGAAAGTGACGATCCTTTTTCAAGTATGATATTTCATTGTCCAGTACTGTATGTAAAAAAAACAAAAAGTAGTACAAAAAGTTCACTTATAGCACATTAAATTTACAAAAATTTACACACAACATTTGTCCAAACTGAATTGATCGAGAAGGCAGCTAGAGTCGCTTGAAATGGTTATGATCTTTTTCGGCGAAGGGAAAAGGAGAAAAGGGTTTATTAAGAGGGCAATGATTGGTGAAATTTGCACTTAATGGACACTCGATGGATATAAACAAACAATTGATGGTCAAACGAAACAAATCAGTGGCTTTGTTGGATCAATCTCTCAAGAAAATGGTATTGTTTCTTTTTACCTAAAAAAGAATGTTGAATTTGTTAAAATCAAATTTTAGAATGCGGAAAAAACGGGATACTTGTCCAATGTAAACCTTTTTGTCCAAAACTCTGTCCAGGCTTGCCCAAACTGGTAAGGAATCAAAGTATTTCTTATTTTTAAGTTTCTAATGAATAATTGCAGAAGTAGAATTGGTCAAATTGCTTTAAAAGTTTGAGCTTTATATATATATAGATACTTTATTCAGAACATGAAATAAAGTGCGCAAGATTTAAAATTAATACACACAAACACGAAAAGGACCGATAAAAAGCAACACGATACAATGTATGTAATATATGGGTAGCACAGATAACGTCAAGAATCCACTAGAGCTTCAAGATTTATGGAAAACATTCACCGAAACATCTTTGAACTTTTTTGGATCCTCTTTTAACTGATGTTAACTGATGGAACACTAATAAAATAGAATATTAGTATGCAGTAGAGTAGAATATTAGTATCACTGACGTATTTTAACTCGTAAAATAATATACAGTGGCGGACATAAACTTATCACACCCCAAAATAATTTCTTATTTCTCCTCTAACTTTTTTTCTAAACAACCCTTTGAGCTAAAAGTTGGTTTAGACACGTAAAAACAAACATATTTTAATATTTTAAGTCAAAAAACTAAATATCTCTGATGAAAAACTTTTTTTGAACTTTTTTATTATAAACTCGAACGACATTGACTTATCACACCTCATAAAAACAACACAAAACATTAAAATTTCGTTTTTATTTTGGGTTTTTTTCCGACTTTTGAATCTAATCTCATTAAAACTCTTTCTAGGTATATGGGAAAGAAGAAGCAAATTTCGTTGGAGAAAAGGGAGGACGTTCTTCGTCTTCACCGCCAACAGAAGAGTCAGAAAGAAATTGGGAGTGTTTTGGGAATCGATCGGACCACGGTCAACAAAATTTTGGCTCTACACTGTCGGACGGGATCGCTCGAAGCAAAAAGAATAAGGGAGCCTTACGAAAAACCACTCAACGAGACGACAATCGGATTCTCGAGCTCTCCAAGGCGGACCCATTCAAGACGGCGGTCGACATTCATGCGGAGTTGCCAAGAAACGTTAAGGATTCGATCTCTCCACGGACAGTCCAACGGCGCCTAAACCATGCCAACCGATTTGGTCGTCGTCCTGCTCACAAACCGCTCATTTCCGCAAAGAATCGGAAGCGTCGAGTGAAGTTCGCCAAGGACCACGTTAAATGGACTAAGCAACAGTGGCAAAATGTGCTTTTCAGCGACGAGTCCAAGTTCAACTTGTTTGGAAGTGATGGAATTCAATATGTGAGACGTCCTCCCAATAAAAGATTCGACCCGAAATATATTTTACCGGCTGTTAAATATGGGGGCGGAAGTGTGACTATTTGGGGTGGCTTTTCGGCTCGCGGATTGGTGGCGCTGAAACGAATCGACGGGATCATGGATCAATTTGTCTACTTGGATATCTTACAGAACCATATGTTACCGTCTGCTACTCGGTTCATGCCTCCAAACTTCATATACCAGCAAGACAACGATCCTAAGCACAAAGCACGCCGCGTCACTCAATGGTTCACCCAACAAGGGCTGCAAGTGATGGACTGGCCCAGTCAAAGTCCGGATCTCAACCCAATCGAACACCTGTGGGATGTGCTTGAGAGGAGTTGCAAAGGGTATAAGACTAAAAATGCTCAAGAGAAATTCGACTTATTGGTCAAGAAATGGACCGAGATCCCTCAAGCCACACTAGACACACTCATCGAATCCATGCAACGTCGGTGTGCTGCACTGATTGCTTCAAAAGGATTCCCAACGAAGTATTAAGTTTTTGTTCCCGTTTTGATTTATCAACCGTTGTTTTTGGGTAGTTTTTAATAGCTTTTTGTGTTGTTTTTATGAGGTGTGATAAGTCAATGTCGTTCGAGTTTATAATAAAAAAGTTCAAAAAAAGTTTTTCATCAGAGATATTTAGTTTTTTGACTTAAAATATTAAAATATGTTTGTTTTTACGTGTCTAAACCAACTTTTAGCTCAAAGGGTTGTTTAGAAAAAAAGTTAGAGGAGAAATAAGAAATTATTTTGGGGTGTGATAAGTTTATGTCCGCCACTGTATATAATTTAGAAAAGATGCTATAAGTCTTGCACTCCGGGTTGTGCTTGCGTGCTGGGCTTTGTACGAGACTCTAATGGTGCATGTATTCAACCGGAGGATTGCTCAAATGATGAAAACAATGAACAATAACCTTTTCGCCATACATTGTTCTTGTTTTTGTGCTATCAAATATTAGGCTTATATAATTTTCATGCTGTAATTATTTCGTAGATTATTCTGTGCTTTGATCTGCCTCATTCCATTCATCAATAAAAATCTTATTCAGCAAAGAAGTAAACGAATGTAGAAATGAGGTAGTGTAATAAAGAAGATCTAGATGAGATCAATTCTGTGCCTTGATCTGCCTCATTCCTCATATCTCAGTCGGTTTACAAGTGGTACTTCTTGACAACGATCGAACCATTCCATTTGTGAAACTCCGCTTGTAATATGTGTTTTGTTCAATTCGTTGAAATCCCTGTAAATTAAAGTAATCAACCCTCATTTTCAAACTCACATTATAAAATATCCTTGAGATTTTGCAAGTGGCAAAGAAAATGAGTAATAGAATGCATCCAATCGACACATAGAACTCTTTCGTTGAGAGGAAACCTAAGGTTTTCTATTTTTTGATTAAATGATTGTTTAAATGACTTATAACTGCATAAATTGAAACTCACTGATTAAACTTTTATAGTAAACTAAATCAAAAAAGGCTAATAGTGTACCAATCCACCAAACGATCACGAGAAGTCCTAAGAAAGCGCACGCAACGATCTAAAATGATCAAAACTGAATCAAAACTCATTCTTATTCGCAAATATTTTTGGTAAATTGATTAGGAAACTATAGATTTAAATTGTTCAACAAATTTTCTAGCCAAGATTAAATTGTTTAACGTATTTGACAGCGAAATGAATTGCAAATCTTGATGAAAATTGGCAAATTTGAATCAAGTTAGTTTATAGAGAAATTCTAAATCTTTTTACTTGAACAGTGATCAACGGTAACATCAGACATTCCTTCTCTTTGATCAATCCAAGAAAATAAAGCATTGTTATCATAGAAAGTGATACGAATAAGCCAGCAAATATAGCTGGGATCAGGGAGCCATCTCTGAATGACTATTCTTTCATTTTCAATCTCAAACTGTATTAGATCAAAATAGGAACCGTATTGGAACAGTATTGGAACCGTATTGGAACCGTATTGGATGTTAGATCCAAATAGGAACCGTATTGGAACTGTATTAGATTAAAATGGGAACCGTTATGGAACCGTATTGGAACTGTATTAGATCAAAATAGGAACCGTATTGGAACCGTATTAGATCCAAATAGGAGCCGTATTGGAAACGTATTAGATCAAATCTCTTACCTGGCCAGATAATATTCAAAAACTGCCATCGCGAATTCGAATAAACTCATGAAAAACGATAAAAGGCCACAGATTGTCTGAATTTGAAGATAAATTTTTGTTTTTAAAGACTTACAATAATTGATGGTCGAAATTGCTGACATCCAGATTTTTGTTGAAATTCGTTCATTTTCGATAGTAAGATTACTGAAAAATTAGATGAAAACAGGCAATGGAAAAAGAAAGAAAAAGGAGAAGATCTGCTGGACACTTGATCCGATCACTTGGACAAAGAGGAAAGCATGGACACTCGTTAAATAAATTGTTTGAGACAGCTGCATTGAGGCATCGGTTCTTTTCACTATTAAACAACTACATGTGTATAGAAATTGTGAAAAGGCTTACTTTTAAGTTTTTTTAGTAAAAGAAATCAATAGTAAATGGTGTAAGTCTGAAGATGAACTCAAGATGTCAAAGAGTGACTATTAGCTTCTCATGAAAGCTATCAATGACTAGTTTATATAAATGAAGACAGCTAGGAACTGATAGTTAACTTAGTTATGCTTTTAAAGAAACAATGAATTTAAGGAATAGTTTTGGATAATCCGAAAATCAACAAAATTACGGACTAAACAAGAAAGTAACGAGCAAAGCCAAGAAATGAGCATTCATTTGCCGTTAATCTCTTCCTCAAAAGAAGTCTGCTAGATTGATGTTGAACAGGAGGAACAGAGAGCATTTCATTATATAAACACCCACAAATGAGAGTCAAGACAAGAAAGAAACTCATTTGCTCATTTCTTTTACTCATTTGGTTAAGAGAAGAGCCAGTCAATGAGGCCAATGCAATAGGAAGTGAACAGTTGGCCCGTTCACTCCTCCTTTTCATCCACATAACTGCTCAAAAAATCTTTGCCTATCAGTCGTCATTGCAAAATAAAGATAAAACGAACATTTTACTATTTAATGTATTCTGAGTTAGCTTTTTCAAGTCGCATTTTTAGTTCAATGGTAAAGAAGACGAGTAAAGGAGTAAAGATTTAGATTAATGGTAAAGAAGACGAGTAAAGGAGTAAAGGTTTAGTTCAATGGTAGAAAAGTCGAAGAGTAAAGGAGTAAAGGTTTAGTTCAATGGTAGAAAAGTCGAAGAGTAAAGGAGTAAAGGTTTAGTTCAATGGTAGAGAAGTCGAGTAAAGGAGTCAAGATTTAGTTCAATAGTAGAAAAGACGAGTGAAGGAATAAACGTTTTGTTCAATAGTAGAAAAGTCGAGAAGTAAAGGAGTAAAGGTTTATCCAATGTTTAGTTTTTTAGTTTTTTTTAAGCCAATGTTCAGTTTTTTAGATTTAAATTATTCATTAAAGCAAAAATGTAGTTTTTTTGGTTAAAAAAATTCAAAATCGACTGAGAATTTGATGTTTCGATGGATGAAAGCTTTCATTTTGTTTCTTTTGAATGATTGATGCAAGAATTGGTAATGCTTCATTAATTGAATAGCTTCATTAATTGAAAGTTTATTCAAAAAGTGCTCAAAGTTTCGATGTATTCTTTTTCAGTAAACTGGTCAAGAAATCATCCAAAATTTTCGTGTATTCTTTGGGATATTTTCGGTGGTGTTCAACGTGTTTTGAGTCGATGAAATTCTTGAATGTTACGTCTTTGCCTTGTCTCAAGTGAGTCTCATGGAATTGTTGAATTTGCCTGGAAATTGGTATCGTTAAGATAAAGTAGATTAATAACTAATAAAGATTGACAAAAGATTAATAATTTTAAACATAGACTAATTTAGCTTTTCATTGATTACCTTGAATCACAAATGACATCTGCATCTGAATAAAGATAAAGTTGTTTCATGGGAATATTCGGATGTTCTCTTAAAAAGTAATAGTGCATCATGTCCTTTAATTCATAGCCAAGCATAACGTTTTTGAATTTCATCTAAAATTTGTTTTGTAACAAAATCACAAGCTACTTCATAAGCTTAAGTTACTTCATAAGCTTAAGTTACTTCATAATAGTTATATCCTTGCTTTTGAACCATCAACCATATTGCCAACTTTTTCGAGAAAAGTCCAAAAAGTGAATTTCCAAAATGGTCACCAATTTGAAAGTCTAATACTTGAGAATAGCCATCCCAAGAGTCTGCATAAATTGGACAACTGAAAAGCTTTTGAAAATTGAAATAGAAAATGGAAAATGGAAAATGGAAATATTGGGTTGGTGAATTGAAAGCTGCGGGCTATTGTCATATGTGACAATTTGAGCACTTTCTTTAAAAGAAACCCATTTTGGTGTCAATGGAAAAGTTGTAGAGAATCAAAAATCAAGCTTATATCCAAATTTTCAGAACGATTCAAAAACTGGTTTTCAAGAAATACCAAATTTACGAACTTTCACAAAAATTGCATTTTAAGCGAAACTACTAAGTGTATCTTTTTGGAAATTTCGCTATAAGCCTAATTTTTGATTCTCTACAACTTTTCTATTGACACCAAAATGGGTTTCTTTTGAAGAAAGTGCTCAAACTGGAACTTCTCCAGTCCTCCATTTTTGAGTCTCGCACCTGTCTCACACACTTGTACTGGGAGTTGCTGGATAGCAAGACGACCGTTAATGCAATCAAATACAGTGGAGAGTTGGGAAAGGTGAATGAATCCCTGAAGAAGAATAGGCCCTCCAAGTCAAAGATCGTTCTCCTCCACGATAACGCGCGCCCTCATGTTGCAAAACTGACTCGCTCTAAACTAAATAGCCTTGTTTGGGAACTTTTGGCGCATTCCCCATACAGTCGGGACCTCGCCCCTTTTGATTACTATTTATTCCGGATCATGAGTAATGAGCCTACGGGAGAGCACTTCGATTCGGAAGAAGCAGTCAAAGTCAAGCAATTGGCTTTGAAAGTTTTTCGATTCAAAACCAAAATCCTACTACGAAAGAGGAATCCGCAAATTGCCTGTAAAATGGGCAGAAGTCGTCAATAATAATGGAAATTATTTGGAATGAATTGATGGTTTTATGTTGGATAAATTTTAGTTCAAAGTCCGGCAGTTTTCAATTCACCAATCCAATATATTACTTTCACCTATCAAAGACAATTCCAATTGTTCTATTGAAGAGATCTGGAAACTCCTCTCGTCTAATCAACGATACCATAGCCATTGTTCCATTCATACTCATACATTGAATAATGAATTGAACTTCTTTTCGTTTCCAAACACTGCAAAAATCAGCAAGAAGAGCTTCAATGGCTCCATCGGAGCTATGCTAAATTTGGTAAAGTTCGAACATTCACAATCAAAAATCCAGAGTCAGGATTATCTTTGAAGTTCGGATTATCCTTAAAAAAAACTTTTGCAACTTTTTCGGGTATTATAAAGACCCACATTAAACTATTCATTAACTTCAGTATTTTATTCGTTCATTAACTTCTTGCCTTGCATTAACAGATTACTACACAGCAAATAACATACCAATCCATAGATGCTTTTCCCGGCTCCTTGATAACAAGCTGTGTAGCGCAAAGTCGAGATTCTAATGAATTTTATACTTTAATTTTGTTTCCACTAACCCATGTTCCTTGTAGAGATCAGCGTATTTTTTCAAATTTTTGTCTTGTGCTCCCGCCCATCCAAAGATCAACGCCACCACTTCTCGATTCTCATTCCATTCAAGGACACTTGGTTGTTGGTTCATTATAGCAATAGCAATAGCAATTGTTGTTTGCTTTAACAGCAATTTGTTTGAATTTTGAAGGAAAAAGCTGGTTTAAAAAATTACAAGAATTGAATCAATAGTGGCAATAGAGGTCGCAAAATTTTAGTTCTGCGCTCAGCGATCTGACCATTTCTGTGTTGTAGTTTGCTTTTTGATGTTCCCATTCTTTTTTTCGTTTCTTTTTGTGATAAGATCATTGTGGATAAGATCATTCATTTCACGAAGAAAGTTGAGTATAAGAAACTTTTTCATAAAATTATGCATTTCCCATTCCCAAAAATGTTTCAATTAAAACACTTAAATTATAGAAAGTTTATTGTAAAAGCTTAGGCTTACAATAAACTGCTTTATCTGATAAACTGTAAACAATAGTTTTGTGACAGTTTAACCACACTTCGGAGGATATTTCAGGCTGAGGTACTTGAGCGGATCACCACGTTTGAAGAATTCGCTTGTATCCTCGAAAGCCTTTTGAAAGCTTGGTAATGATGGTGGTGCTAAAATTGATGTTAGCTTTTTTGGATGTTGTGGAATCAAGACTTGTCACTGCAGCAACTCTAGAGCCTTTTTGTATCCTCTAAACATTTGCGTTTCTATATTTCTTTCGTTCCACCAAAATTTGAGCTAAACCGAAACTAAACAGCTGCAAGGCGCCATTGAAGGGATCAATCAATAAAAACAACCTGTAAGAACAAAAAAGGAATTGAAAAAGAAATAAAAGTTTTTATTGTCTTTGTTTTTCTTCTAAAAAGTCACATATGTTCAATTCGGTTTGCAATTCTGCATGCCATTCGCAAGAAAATCAGTGCTCTGGCAAGGCTAGTGTCAGGCATTTTTTCTGGGTCAGACAAAGCCAGATCTAGGCCAGAATCAAGTCAAGTCTTGGCCTGGCTTTACTATAGATTTAACTCAAAAATTGATAAGCCAATAAGCTAATAAGCCATGCTTGGGTCTGGCTTAAAACTTTATTCCCTGATTGGAACAGCTCTGGAAGTAAAAACAACTCTAGACCAAGTTATGGCTTTACAAGGCCAGATCAGGCCAAAGTCAAACCAAAGCCAAGGCGCCATTGAAGGGATCAATCGGTAAAAAGATCCTGTAAGAACAAAAAAGGAATTGAAAAAGAAATAAAAGTTTTTATTGTCTTTGTTTTTCTTCTAAAAAGTCACATATGTTCAATTCGGTTTGCAATTCTGCATGCCATTCTCAAGAAAATCAGTGCCTCTATCAAGGGTTGAGGCAATCTCCCATCTCCAACAATCTGAATTTTAATGGGCTTTTGTCGATTGCATATTTCTAGACAAGTAACCAACTAAGAGCTTTCATTCCTCCCCGATCCTTGAACATTTCCTCAATCCATGTGTCATTGAAGTAGTTATTAAGGTAGAAATCAGCTGGATCATTTAGCAGGGTCACTATCGAGATTGGTTTTGGCGAGTTTCTGAAATCTCTAAAAACCCTGACCGATTGACTAAGAGCCCTGTATCGGGAGGTCAAAGGTTCAATCCCACCGGCTAGATTATTGGTTCTTTTTTCCCCATAGATATAGGTTTTTTCTTTCCTAAATTTAGAGCCAAAAAATTGTGCTTGTGCATTGTTTGTACCACATTATTCGTGTGAATCAATCTATTTTTTAAACAACGTTACTCACTTGTTTTTCAGCGCGATTTTAAGGGCACCCAACATGTTCAAAGCTGAACTCGGTCCACCATGAAGACCTCTTGAACTGAAAAATTGGTCTTTTCAAGTCCAATATCAATTTCGTTCTTTAGTCAACGCACTTGAACTCTCTGAATCCGGCTGCTGTGGCAATGTCGGGCAATTTCACAACCTCATCAATTATAGAAGCCACCAAACTATAAATAATCTCTTTCTCAAATCAAATTCTCTAATAAAAACTCTTAAATAACCGAGTTAATAAAGATTCTCAAAATAAAAACTCTTAAATAACCTTGTCGTGTCTCCAAAGATCACCGGTTCTACTTCGAATCCATAGCCAACTCCAGGTACTCCAGGTTCTTTCCAAAGTTTCATGCCTGATTCATTTTTGAAGCTAAAAGTTCAGAAATTTTGAGAAAGAAGTTAAAATATTATTACCTATTATTCAAGACATAGTCGTAGTAGACTGAGAACTCCGTATCGGCCATGACAACTTTTGTGGGCAAATTGTAGCGATCAATGTATCGGCCCACAGAGGTGATTGTCCCACCTAAACAAGATTTAACTTCAATTGGCTGAATTGATAGCTTTCTTTATTTCTTTTCTCATGAGTTTGGCAAAAGAATATCTGCATTTTATTGAAAATGCACCTGTCCCAGCTCCATGCACAAAATAATCAACATCTTTCTTGGTGACACTCGAATCATCTCTCAATTGGGCTAAAGCTTCATGAAAAACATTTCCACTTTCATACTTGTAATCACCACCTAAATTCAATTCATCTCTTCACTTCTTTTCAAAATCACTTTCTGTAAACTCTTCAGCTTTTTCAGCATTTCCATGTTGATTTACATAAAATCCACTTGTATTTGCGGCTGTTTCCTTGGCTAGTTGACCCCGAAGGCTGTTGTCCGTCTAGAAAATAAAGTGATGTATTTGATACATTCTTGAAAATATGTATTATGCAACCTTAATGATTTGACCATGATTCCCTTGAATATTGTTGATTTTTGCCTGTTCGAGATCATGTGAAACCTGAAAAGTTCGTCAAAGCAGACCTTTTCGCTTAAATTAAGAGAGGGTAACTTTCTTTACTTTCTTTACTTTACTTCTTTACTCCTTTACTTACTTACTTACTTTCTTTTGCTTTACTTACTTCACTTTCTTTGAACAGAAACTTACCACAGCATAAAATGGAACACCGATCGCTGAGTACATATAGGCTTCACTAGCAGCCGTATTTCCTGATGATGATTCATAAGTTTTCGAATCTTGAGTCACCTAAAAATACTTGATAACCTACAAATCACAAAATTTGAAAATATAGTAGCTTTAAATCATTTCCTACAGATTATTTATTTATTAACTTAAATGTTTTCTTGTTTTCCCTATTTTCCCTAATAATGATGAAGCGAAAGCTAAGTTCCTTGAAATCTCGACAACCGCTTATCAGAACCTATCGATGTGGGATCGGAAAATGTAGCTGACGATGAGATCTTGTGGGGGATTAGAGTGTTGAGTTTCTTGTGTAAACTTGAAAACCGTAAAATAGTCATGAACTCAGCTCGGCGAGGTCAACTATTAGGGAAAATATACAGCAAATGTTCTTCTACTCCTCACCAAACCATCGACGACCGACCACATTGCGAGCGCCCACGCAAATCGATGCTTGAGTGAGCGAGTCGGTGTCGCTGTCTCATTCTTGATATAGAGACGAAGAAATGGCAGACCTTTTACCTAAATTTCTCTTTTTATTCAACGAAAATTAAGTGAACTGGGTATTTTATGAGTGGTGTGTGCCCGAATTTTGCTCTCTCTTCCCACAGCCGACCGATTGCCCAACTGCGCCAGTCTTGTTCACCTGAGAAAAGAAAAGAGAAATTTAAATTTAAACAACTTCTCTAAACAATAAGCTCTCTAAACATTAAAGTTTAAGACTTTGTTAAACTTCAGAGATTATTTTTTTATTCACTTTTTGTTAAACGATCCTGATCAGCTGGAGCGCTAGTTAGATTGGTGATGGTGAAACGAAATAAGCCGAACAGAAGCAAGCAATTAATATACATTTTTCCACTTGATAGAGAAGAATTAGGGACTTCAAAGTGATCAATAAGTAAATGGGATAAAGAATTTCCTGTTTCCAAATGATCAAATGAACTTCTTCTCCTAGAAAAGTGTTTGCTTTTTGACCATAAACTTTGCTCTTTTAACCTCAAAGAGTAAACAAACGAATAAAGAAAAAAAAAAAGAGTTGGATAGATTGAAATAATGGCAGGTTCTTTCAATAAAAGACGTCTACTGAAATAAAAAAATAAAGAAGAAAAGTAAATAAGAGAATGAAATGAGAATTCGATTGCCTAAAGTTGCAGCTAAAGTTTTGAATTTGCAAAAGATCTAAAAATCGTGTTGTAAATGATGGAGCTGTGAAATAGATACCGTAAATACTGTAATAGTACCCACCCCCATAATGACGGTGAAATTGAACAATTCGTTCGAAAAATATTTTATGATTATAGATAATATTGTACAATTAGAAAAAAGCTGAATTTTATTCTTTTATACATGAAAAATTCTTTCTCGAGAACATCGTTCAATCAACTTTTATCGTTGCTATGTTGCCGTTTGAAGCACTTTGCTTTGAAAGGATTGGTGGTTGGTGCTTTGGTTGTCGAGGTGGCAAATTGAAGAGTAGAACGCAGAGACTGAAATAATAATCGAAATCGAAATCACTCGAATATTCACCCACGTTTGCAAGTCACGAAAAATCATCTGGGGAAGTGTGACGTAATAATATTGACCAAGTATCTTCTGCTTGTAATTGGATGGAGTTATGCCGATGTCGACTCGTAAGATTTGTCTTTGCAGATAGGTGACTAGTGAGATCAAATTTGTGATCAACATCTAAACAATCAACTTTTCCAGAGGCATTTTTCCAGCTCTGGCAAGGCTAGTGTCAGGCATTTTTTCTGGGTCAGGCAAAGCCAGATCTAGGCCAGAATCAAGTCAAGTCTTGGCCTGGCTTTACTATAGATTTAACTCAAAACTTTATAAGCCAATAAGCTAATAAGCCATGCTTGGGTCTGGCTTAAAACTTTATTCCCTGATTGGAACAGCTCTGGAAGTAAAAACAACTCTAGACCAAGTTATGGCTTTACAAGGCCAGATCAGGCCAAAGTCAAACCAAAGCCAAGGCGCCATTGAAGGGATCAATCGGTAAAAAGATCCTGTAAGAACAAAAAAGGAATTGAAAAAGAAATAAAAGTTTTTATTGTCTTTGTTTTTCTTCTAAAAAGTCACATATGTTCAATTCGGTTTGCAATTTTGCATGCCATTCGCAAGAAAATCAGTGCTCTGGCAAGGCTAGTGTCAGGCATTTTTTCTGGGTCAGACAAAGCCAGATCTAGGCCAGAATCAAGTCAAGTCTTGGCCTGGCTTTACTATAGATTTAACTCAAAAATTGATAAGCCAATAAGCCATGCTTGGGTCTGGCTTAAAACTTTATTCCCTGACTGGAACAACCCTGGAAGTAAAAACAACTCTAGGCCAAGTTTAAATTAAGCATTAAACCAGAGAATGGATAGTTATCAGTTGCCACACAGTACCAGCTGAAACAGAATAGCTGAAGAAGCTCTCAAAATAAACGAATTCCTAGTTTCAGCTATTTACGAAGCTCTCAAACTAACGAATTCCTGGTTTCAGCTATTTAGCTGAATAACTGAATAGCATTTACAAGGCCAGATCAGGCCAAAGCCAAACCAAAATTTCGTTAATGATGACAGTTTCCCTTGTAAACTTTAGACTTCTGATGCACTCAAATACGGAAAACAAAAGAATAAGTAAAAAAGAGGAGATTAGTCAATTAAAAAATAGTCTTTTGAAATGATTTTCACATTTAAAAACTGGTACATTATGCAAAAATTTCTTGTGAATTTTCATGTCATTTGTTTATGTTCAATTTTTCACAATTTCAACGCCAATCTCCTGAAAATTCTCCTGAAAAAGAAAATCGAGATTTTAATTGACTTTGATCTCGCTTTCACCCGGCTATGAACGATTTAGCTTACCATAAGCACCAACTTTATGTTGGCATTTCCTCTTTGTGTCGAGTTGATCGTCGTATTCTAAAGTGTTGAGTTTAAAAGAAGAAGAAATTGATGAAGAAAACTGTCTATTTTAAAGCAAACTTGCAAGTTTTTTTCTCAAAGTTTTGCTTAAAACAAAAAAAGAAACAAACCAATCTCCGGATTTTCCACAAAACGAGCGAATCGAGAAGGATAGACAAGCCGGCGGAAATTGGAGCCGCATAGATATCGATCCAGTCTTTCCAATAGTATTGTAGAAGGGCTTTCCATGAGTAGAATGTCATTAATAGATAATTTAATGGACTGAAGTACGTTCCGCCATAGCAAACATAGTCCGTTGTTTTATTGGTCACTAAGCAAAGGATTTTTCAAGCTAAAATTTCTCTCACATGTGCCAATTTGCATCAAATAGCCGATCAATGGAATGATGACTAAAATCGAGCATTGTGGAAGAGCTAGACGCTCAGCCTGGGTGAAGTAAATTCCATTGAAAAAGACTGCGAAAAAGCTTGAAGATGATTTTGAGATGTTTAGATGATTAGAACAAACCGATTGATACAAAAGGCAACAGCCACTAGTTTTATTGTTAACTCCAATGCAAACTCGCAAGCAGTTATGATAAAATTAAGCATTAAACCAGAGAATGGATAGTTATCAGTTGCCACACAGTACCAGCTGAAACAGAATAGCTGAAGAAGCTCTCAAAATAAACGAATTCCTAGTTTCAGCTATTTACGAAGCTCTCAAACTAACGAATTCCTAGTTTCAGCTATCACTGAATAGCTGAACAGCTGAATAGCTGAATAGCTGAATAGCTGAATAGCTGAATAGCTGAATAGCTGAATAGCATTCCATCTGTTAAAAGACATACTTTATAATGCAAATGATTCGATTGAATCTGCTGATTGCAAAGAGGAATTTTGCAATCAACTCGATGAGCATATAGCATTTGACGGCTTTGCTCAGTATCTGACTTCTTGCAATCACTCGTATCGTGTGACCAACAAAAAACAATTCAAAGGTACCCGCCTGGAAAAGAATTGGATAAAAAGGACTATTTCTCTTATAAAAATTCAGTTAGTCAGTTAGTTTTTATTGATTTAACCGAACAACAAAACCAAAACATAATATTCTTTTGAAATAACTACAGGATTTTCAAGATTTATGGGGACTTTTGAGCTCGCAGATTGTTTAGCTCTCTCAAAATTGATTTATTTAATCGTCAAGAAAGCACTGTTAGAACAAATTAGATTGTTTTTATAGTTTACTAAATTTGAGATTCCAAAATCGATTCATTGTAAATCAATGACCAAATTTCAGAGTCAAATCTCAGTTGTTCTTCTTTAACGATAAGAAAGTAACTATTTAACAGTTTTTGAATCTATGAGACACTAAAAATGAATCAGATTTCAGTTTTGGTTCTTTCAAGAATGCTTAACGAGAGTTTGTGAGAAATTCAATTTATTCGACCACAGTCATTTCTCATTTCATTGAATGCTATTCAGCTATTCAGCTAAGCTAGGAATTCTTTTGTTTTGAGAACTTCTTCAACTATTCTAGACAAGCCACAGCGCAAATGGCAATAATTTTTTAAAAAGTAACTTAAATTTGTTAACGTTGGACGTATTGATAAGTGTGTTTTCTTTTAGCATTAAACTTGTGGGCTCTAAACCTAATAGTCTACTGATTTCCAAATATTGAATACTCTGTACAAACCGCGGCAAGCATAGCAATGACCGGTAGATCGCTATCCGGACGATTTTCTGGCCTAATCGGCATTCCATTCGGCAACGTGGGTACGGTGGTGATAAATATCCATGCACTAGGTAAAATCGCATATCGAAGTGGGCATTCAAAATCCCTGAATGGACTAGACTCTAGGGAATACTCGATTAGTTCTTCGAGGGTTTTGTTTGCCCAATCATCATAAGACAATGTGCTTGTCGGCAAGAGATCGGCCATTCTGAAAGATTGAATCAAAGTATTTTTGTGTCCTTATAACGAAGAAGTATCGTAATTCTGAGTTTGATGACGTAAAATGTCAAAAAGTTTGATGCAATGATTAGAAGAAGCCACTATTTATGCATCAAAGCTGATTAAACTCTACTTTTAAGCCTCTAATTTGCATTTGCATCAAAAAATGTTTCTGTTTTCTCTCTTCCTGCTCATTTTCACAAATTTAAACAATCACAAAAAAAAAACGAAACAAAAATCGGTGAAAATTTTGTACTTAATTGATAGTTTACTCAGAAAATGCAGCGAGAAAATGTCATTAAAGCTATGCTGAAGAAATTGAGATAGGTAATTGAGGTGTAATGTCGATTATAATTGGTAAAATCTTCTTTTTACCAATTAATTTACCATCTTTATTCTAAGCCCCGCCCATTCACGTCACGAGTTGCATCAAAAATTTAATTCTAACCTATGACCATGAGTTTGATGTCAAAAGAAAAAAAACTTTCACTCTATTTGACATCAAATTTATAACTACCGTAAATACTGTAATAGTACCCCACCCCCATAATGACGGTGCGGAGTGTTGCGTAGTCTAGCTTTGAACGAGTTTTTCTCGACACTGGTTTATGCTACAATGCGCGCTTAGGTATCAAAAAATAGCTGAAATTCAGGGCTATTTTTTGAAAGTACGGGCGCTTTGAAAAACATGAAATACTAAAAAACTTTTGCGCCTACGCGACTGTACGAGGGGCATTGGGTACTATTACAGTATTTACGATAAGTCTAAACTGTAGCGAAGAAAAAACCAATAATTTAGCCGGGAACCCTTGACCTCCTGGCAAAGATATAGGGCTCTTAGCCAGTCAACTGTGAAGCCCATTTCTTAGTCCCATTTTGACACATTTTTATGTTTAATATACCAAAAGATAACCCTTAATGTCTTCTATCTTTTGGTATATTAAACATAAAAATATCATAAAATCGGGCTGAGAACGAGTCAAGTTGGTCGAGGGGGCGGCGTTTATTAGAATAAATACGGTAGTCTAGCTTTGAACGAGTTTTTCTCGACACTAGTTTATGCTACAATGCGCGCTTAGGTATCAAAAAATAGCCCTGAATTTCAGCTATTTTTTGATACCAAAGACGCATTTTTTGAAAGTACGGGCGCTTTGAAAAAAAATTAATTACTAAAAAGCTTTTGCGACTACGCGACTGTACGAGGGCGGTGAGTATTTACGTACAGTATTTACGGTATATATTAAAAATTAATTTTCTTGGTGTAATTTTTTTTCTGACGTGAGTGAGAGGGGGGGGGGGGGGCCGTCTTTAACATGAGAATATCGTCACTGGCAGGATCAACCAGATAAATAAGGCTTAGAATAAATAAAGTAGATCAACTACTGGCAACTGAAACTACTGGCAAAATGTTTCAAAACTACTTTTTTTTTGCTAGAAAGTTAACTTCCAGGATACTCAATAGAAAGAAAACGAAAAAAAAGAAAAACAAGAGTACTTTAAGAATCTAATGATGAAGTACCGTTTGTCTCTGACTCCGGGTGTGCTAGGTTCAATGATTTGAGTTCAATCATTTCCCGAAATTCTCAGTACCCTTACAATTATTTCCATAATTTAAAGCCTCTAATTCAAATGTTCTTGATTTTTGCTCCTTTTTATAGTTGTGTTTTAGTTTATGAAAGCTTTTAATACTTAATCACCGACCTTTTCTGCCTTCAGATCTATAATTTTCTGAATTTCTTTTGTTTGCTCTCATTTTAGTTTTTGCAAACAAACACAGTACCAATATGGATGAATTTTCCAACGAGAAACTAAATATTTTCCTCCAATTCCTTTTCAACCACTCAATAGGTCGAAAAGTTCTAAATACGAAATGACAATTGGATTTTAATTTTGAAAAATGATTAGGCTCAGGTTTTTTCTAGATTTACGGTTGAAAAATTGATTATCTTTCGTTAATCATTTACTGAAAGTGACTCAGAATTTGGCTTTTCGCGCAGAATCCCCAAGTAAGTTACGAATTTCAGCAGGATGCTAGCATTCAAAGCAATGGATGACGGCTAATATAATATGCTTTATTCAGTTGAATAGCGACAAAACAAAATGACAATAATTAACCAGGATACCACTCAAAACACACCCAAATGATAAATAGATACCTCGAGAAAGAATCACAGAGCAGTCAAATCAATTGCAGAAATTGCGGCTTTAAATCTAGCCAAGGTGGGAATATGACGACCATGAGGGGGTAAAAGGTTCCAGAATTTAATAACTCGATTAAAGAAGAAACTGTGGGGGCTTTTAGAGGAAACGGAAGGTTGGCGTATGAGAAAAGGCCCCCTTCTGGAGGCGCCCCCCCCGTTACGAATTTCAGCAGGATGCTAGCATTCAAAGCAATGGATGACGGCTAATGGAGTGGTTTCGATGGATTGACCAAATCGATCGCGTGATCTCAACCCCATTGAGAACCTCTGGGGCATCTTGGTTCGAAAGGTTTGCAAGAACCGACGGTAGTTTTCATCGGTTGCTGATCTTAAAGTCGCTATTCAGCTCGTTTAGAACAATTTGGGTGCAAACGTCTTGCAAAACCTGCAAAACATTCTTCAATGCCAAATCGCATTTTTCAAGCCATCAATCGAGCGATTATTGAATAAGAATAACCGACTATTGAATAAGAATAAGAATAACCGACTATTGAATAAGAATAACCAACTATTGAATAAGGATAACCGATTATTGAATAAGAATAACCGACTATTGAATAAGAATAAGAATAATCGATTATTGAATAAGAATAACCAATTATTGAATAAGAATAACCGATTATTGAATAAGAATAATCAATTATTGATAATGTTTTCTTTGGCCTTTGTCACCTTGGTGTCTGTCCCCAGCTAGTTTTTCTTTGCCTTTTTAATAATAACATTTTCCTAATATTAACTATAAAAATTTATCAGAAATAATCTTTAACGAGCTAAAAAGGCTGTACAATTACTAAAATATGTGCACCGGTATCACAAATTTGGAAAGCTAAACGACTTGAGTTTGACCAAAAAAAAACAATAACAACTAGCGATTCTAAGAAAATGAAAAAGAATCATCAGTAAAAATGCAAAAAAAAAGAAAGAAAGACAATGCATATGGCAATAAAATTTAGCTAAAATGATATTCTATTGTTTTTCTTCATCGCTATGTTCAGGTTCACCCTCGTACTCGGCTGAAGTCATTCTTCGACGACCACGTGGGACAAAGAATTGCTCACCGGTTTCTGAAAATGTTTATGATTGAAGGATGGTTAGTGTTAGATAACTATATTGAAATCTAGTCTAGTTAAACTTAAACTTTTTAAAGTTACAACTCCAAAACATTTCCTACCTCCATCCGAGTCCGATGATGCGCCAAGATCTCGAATCCCAACCACTTGATTTTTTCTGAAAACTTATTATTTTGATCGGTTACCTACTTATCAAATTTTCAAGATCAGTTTTTACTTTTTTTTATTTCCTGAAAAACAAACCTCTGTGTTTGGCCGATTGAGTGACTTCTTTTTGAAATAGAAGTCCTTGATCCCCTTGTACTCGAATGGGAAAGATGGCGAACCGGAGAACAACAAGCATCACGTTTGAGGCCACTAAAATCAAGATAAAATGGAGAAAGTTTGAGTCTTTTCAAATCAATTGGCTATCAACTACTTTTCTCAGTATTCTAACTTTTAGAAAAGCTTTGAATTCAGTAAAGTCAAGCTGAATGGCTAGCTCAAATAAAGCATAGTGTTATCCCTTTAAAAATGGTGAATTAGATATTTGTAAAACATAAAACTAACATGTTTAACATTACATAAAACTAACATGTTTGTACAAACAAAACACACCTGGAATTTCCCTCTTCAACCGACAATCCGGAATCATTCTCATCACCTTTCTTCTCTGGAGAATTTATCGGTACAGGATTTGAAGTGTTTGAAGTGGAAGCTTCCATCAACTAAAATTTACAATTCATTCATTCATTTCATTCATTCATTCCATTCATTCATTTACTTTATAAATTACTTGCAATCTTTAATTTTTTTTTTGTTATTTCTAGTTCAAGCAGTTAAACATCAAAATAAAATGAAAACAAAAGGAAGGGCTCGAACCCGAGCAAAATTTGATAGCTTGTTTCGGAAAGGAGACTGTTATCCACTACACCACAAGCTCACGATTTGATACGGTGAAAGAAGCTTTATATAGGGACTGAACTTTGGCTAATTTGACATCAAAGTTGTTCGCCAGATTCCTCGCTTTTTCGCATTTTGCTTTAATTTTGCAAAAACGGATAGCAGCATTGGAATCAGTGTAAACTTCTGCGTCGGGTATGGCTCAGTTCATTTGGTCACCTCAGTCTTGTGAGCTTCCCTTGTTAGTATGAAGGCTCTGGCTTTGGCTCTGGCTTTGGCTCTGGCTTTGGCTCTGGCTTTGGCTCTGGCTTTGGCTCTGGCTTTGGCTCTGGCTTTGGCTCTTGTCTTTATAAAATTTCTATTCACCTCCGCTTGTAGTTCTTCCTCATTCTCTTCGGGTACCGACTTAGTAATTCCTCGACTCATAATCGAACAAGGCCGCTCCTCAGCCACATTGAAAACCTCCACATTTCGAACCTTCAATCATTTTTTGAATAATTTAAGTTCTCTGACAAACCTTATTATTCTCGTCTAAGTAATGGAAGGCATATGTGGCTTCGTGGGTTGCTGTGTACTCAATCACTTGTGATAGCGAGCCCTCTTCGGCTTGTTGACTTGTACTAAAGAATTTTTGATCTATGATCCAATAAACTTCATTAATCTAAAGGGTCAAAAGGTGTTTACAATATAATATTCAAAAATTACCCCATTGCCGGTGAGTGCGAGATGAGCGAAGCTTTTCTGAGATTCGGATCTACTGGTGACAATTCGCAGCTCAACCTCGACGGTCGAGTGATCTGTATTGTTTGTATTTCAAATGCCTAGCTGTTTTACTAAATCAGAATTCAGAAGAAACTAGAGTTGAAATCTACCTTGGTGCCTTTTCTCTGCTTCATTCGTCTGTCTCTTTCCCGGAGTTGGGCCAATTCTTGTCGCGCCTCTTCGCTCAACTCGATCTCACCAAAATGTTCCTTCAAATTGCTTTGACCAGAAGACTCAAAGTCACACTCAGTGATAGCCAATTGGCAAGAGTATCTAAATTTGATTGTTTGAAACGTTTGCATTTGTTGTTGTTGTTGTTGTTTTGAGTTATAAGAACAATTTCGAGTTTCTAAAAGCTCTAGAAAACTCTAGAAACTTTGGTGCTCTAGAAAACTATCGTAATCCGAGTACAGTAGCTTTTTCTGTCTTTTAGAAAACGTAAAGAGGCTCTTAAGGTCGTGCTTACCTAGCCGATAATTGACTTCTTTGTCGATCAATCTCTTCATACATGAAATCGACCAAATCGGAGAATTTCTTGAACAACCAATCCGGACAAGCGACCGTATGAATGTAGGAGGCAATTCTAAATTATAAAATTCTTGGTTTTAATCAGATTTAATTCAAAACTAAAGCTGAACCATTCACTCTTTTTCAAAAATCCCATAGCTATTACCAGAATTTCTCCCCTAGACACCAGGGTTCAGTTTTTCCCACCCGCGGTTCTCCTATCAATCAGAGGAAAGTTTGACTCTCAGGCTTTCTCAGCTTTTTTTTTTCTTCTTTCAAATCTCTTTCATTCATTCAATCCATAAGAATGGCGCCACACCGATCAAAGCACGTGATTGTTACTTTTTCAGAGAGAAATTCTCTCATTCCACCAATGCTTAAAACACGTTTGGAATTTCGGGAACTGGAGAAATTATGGATTGATGATGTACAGGATGTTTCAAAAGTTCTTACCGTAAATACTGTAATTGGACCCCACCCCCATAATGACGGTGCGGAGTGTTGCGTAGTCTAGCTTTGAACGAGTTTTTCTCGATACTGATTAATGCTACAATGCGCGCTTAGTTAGCAAAAAAAATAGCTGAAATTCAGGTCTATTTTTTCATACCAAAGACGCATTTTTTGAAAGTACGGGCGATTTGAAAAAAAATTAAATACTAAAAAGCTTTTTCGACTACGCGACTGTACGAGGGCGGTGGGGTACTATTACAGTATTTATGGTAGGTAGAATGCTAAATGTTTAGAAGGTAAATTGGCTTCACATTGAACCTTTTACACAATACAATGCAACTACTGAAGAGTCAGCTCTTCTATTTTCAATGTGGCTCTAAAATTCTAGCTACAGTATACAGTTACAGCTTCAATAGCTTAAAAATGGATGTACTATTACAGTATTTACGGTATGCTTTTTCTGTAAGGAATTTTTTTGACTTCTGACTTGAGAAACACATGAATTTCAGAAAACTAACGCCGGATTCTAAAAATTCAGACATTTTTCTCTCAATATGCTCATTTTCATAAAAAGATTTCAACACTAAACAACTTTTGACTAGGAACAAACTTTACATCTGGTCGCTGAAGATTTTTGATTTGAAAATTTGATTTAAACTTTACAGAGTGAAATCTTTTCTAAAAACTATTGTTACCGTTTGATAGACCTAAGTTTTTTTTTCTTTAAAAACTGCCGTATTTCTTCGAATAGAAGACCGGGTAAAGAGTATCATCGCGTACTCCTGCGTAACAGCCCTTTTTAAAATTTCTTTTCTGCATAAAAGCTTTCAATCAAGTGCTATAGGGCTGAAAAATGACTCAAAAATACCACATGAGCTAACAGATTTTTGAGCCATTTTCCAGCTCTATAGCACTTCATTGAAAGCTTTTATGCAGAAAAGAAATTTTAAAAAGGGCTGCTACGCAGGAGTACGCGATGATACTCTTTACCCGGTCTTCTATTCAAAGAAATACTGTATAATTGTTACTTTTACAACTTTAAGAAATACGGTAATCAAAAACGAACTTTCTATCTTAAAAAGGAAAGATTTTCAATCAATTTTACGACGGGCACTTAAATCTTAAAAACAAAAAAGCGCTGTAAAGACCTTTAAAAATCTTCCTCAAAAGTTGTTTAAAGTTGCAACTTTTATGCAAAAAAAAATAGATTAAGGATAAAAAAAATACCCGAATTTTTATAATCCAGTGCTATTTTAAAAAAAAATAGCATGTTTTCTGAGTCAAACTCTCCGTTTACAAAAATTAAAAGAAATTTTGAGAAACCCTGTACTTATTGTTAGGAATTTCTAGATACTAACCCAAATTTGTAAGCAAAGTTCTTGAAAATAGAAATTTGCACTTGTAAGAATTGCCCTTTAGGACTAAATCTCACCTTTTTGCCATGATCAACATGACATCTAATGGATATTTCCAAATCCCGAACACCATCCTTGTCATTTTCATCAATCGAAACGAGAAAACCCATTTCAAAAAGTCGCCTCAGCTTTTGACGCCTCATCGAAAGCTAAAATTGCCTATCTTTCCTTTGTGTCTGTTCTGATTAGTTCAGAAATTTGTAAACAACGAAAAAAAGAGAGCGCACTCTCTATTTTGATCACCTCTCTAGACAAAAATATCGAGAGATAGGTAAACAAATTTCTCTCAATGAGCTGCAAATGGGGGGAAACCTTGAAAAAAAGCTACGAACTTCTTTGGATAATCGACGGGAAAACAAGATCCGCGTTGTGCATATGATCGCTATCACCACAAGTATCACACTCCGAATCAAAACGTTTCCTAAACAGTTGAATTTGTTTTTTAAAAGATCAAAATGATCAATTTAAATCAATTTAAATCTTAAAACTGTTCTTAAAAGTTCTTAAAAGTTCTTAGTACCTTGTTCCTTGACCATTGTAGTTTGCGGATCTTGTTCTTGAGCGAGTTGGTGGTGAAAACGGTCGACTTGTGTCCGATGAGGAAGAAACCTATAAACTTATATGGGAATTTTCAATTTCTCAGAAGTTACTATACTTTTTTAGAAGTTATTGTACCAAATTCACTTACCATTGATGCTTGTGATGGCGGTGGATTCGGCACAGCGTCTCCCATGTTTGTTTGAATGGTGAGACACTTGATGCAAGTGGTCATATCTAAATTTTGATGAAATGTTTTTGATCTAAGAATACCTTTACACTTACTATTTCTTGTTAAGAAGCGAACAGTATCGGAGAATCCTTGTAGACACATTTTTGTGCAATCTTCTAATGACGGAGGCATTAGAATAGCGATTAAACGGAAAAAGTTCATTGTTGTGAAGCGCATTGAGGTGTTGTTGTAAGTCATGTCAAAGAAGCTGAAATTTTGGATGATTTTAGGATATTTTAAAGCTTTAATTAAGTAACTTTAAAGTAAATAAGTAAGTAATAAAGGAAGTAGCTTTGATTAAGTAAGAAGAGTAAGTAAAATCATTGATCTCTCAAATTCTAACTCAACTTTAACTTGTTTACTATCGAAATACTGTCAAGAGAAGATTCTATTCAAGACTCACCCAGCTGATTCATAATCGAGTGGACAAATATCGCTTTCACCGCTAAATGGTGAAACGGTGACTGTATGATCATCAAATAGAGGCAAATTATCGGAAAATCCTCCATCCACATATCTTACTCCACGAAATGTTGGCAAAATCACTCCACAAACACCAGGAATAAAACAGGAACAAGTAATACCCTGAAAATTTCTAAAGATTTAGTTTAAAAGCTTCTTTTTACATCAACAAGCTCATCATTGTTAGCGAAATCTTCGAGAATAACATTCTTTTTATCACTCCATCGAGTTACAGAGATTTTAAGACGAGCAGAACATCTAAAACTTGTAAAAGCGATTGTATACTTGTTAAGTAATACGTTATTTATATTATATTAAAGGGTTTTTACCTGATATATGCATCTGGCGGTAAATATCTTCTGATTTCCTCTTTGACGAGTCCCATTAGATCGAAGTTTGGAGAGATGACACCAAGGGAGCTTGATCTGGCCTGAAATTTGATTGCTTTTAGATGATATAACTGGATAAATTTGTGATAAACACAATACAGTATTCGATTAGTTGAAAAAATCCACTTCTCTGACTATCCTCAGCATCGTTGATGTGGCTTGACTGATACAAACGTCAGTGACTAGGCCAGCGGCAACGATCGCTCCAGCGCTTGCTCCGGAGATTGTTCCTTTTTGCATCAACTCGGGAGCATATTCCTGAGATTTTACTTGATAAGAACGGTTAGAAATCTATTAATTTATGCTCTAGCAATCTAGCAATACAGCTCTAGCTCTAGCGATTTCGCAATACAATATAGCAAATTAGCTCTGGCAAGAAAATCTTGTAAATCCTGGATTTGTTATGGGTTTAAAAGCCTGGTAATATTGCTTGTTTTGATCTTTTAATTTTTTTAATCTTTTTCCCAACCTTTATTGCAGCAGCCACTCCAGCGTGATACAAGCACAAAAAACCGCAACCGGAAAAGCTGAGATTCATCCGACTCGGATCGCTATTTATCATTGTCATTTTGCTAAAATGGGTTTCGTTTTCGATTTCGATCAAAAAGAATCAGGCTAACGTGAAAAATGGCTCTACAAGACCACAAAAAAAAGGCGATCATTGCAAAAGATAAGACTAAAACGAACAAAAGAGGGCAAAAAGCGTAAAATCGGGTCAAAAACTGGTCATCCGAGGATTTCAAAAGTAAAATAAAAGTAAAATAAAAGTAAGATAAAAGAAAACAAGAGTATTAAGCAAAATAATTGAATAGCTGAAAAGGATTGAAAAGTGAAAATAGTGTGCTTGAAATTGAGTGGAAAGGGGGATGGGGGTTTCCCCGATAGGCAGCCTTGAGTCAAAAGACAAAGAAAGGAAAACACGTGACACCGAATCTAAATATTACGAAAGCAAGGAAACGAATTGATAAATTGAAAATATAATAACCTAGGCTAATATAAAGTTTATTTAAAGATTTTTGAAATTGAAAATTTCGTGGAAAGTTTGAGGGGTGAAAATGCACTCTGACGCCATGCCCATACCACGGACAGACGGGAGGCGCGTGGTCCAGGAGAAAGATTGGAGAAATTTGTGGAGAGCGCAGAGAGTGGTCGGCCTGCCAGCCGACACCCAACACTAGAAATCTCTATTTCTCCAAATTTCATCTGTTCTCTTTTCCCTAAAAACTGTCCTCTCCATTTGGACTCCAGTATTTCTCCAAATCCTCTTCTCATTTCCAACATCTGCCTATCCATCTATACCCTTTTTCCCATGTTTCCCCATCTCTTCAATATCTTTTCAACTCAAGAAAATGTGCATTTGATCGCGTTCGATTTATCTAGGAAGAAAAAAAAAGTGATGGCACCACGTGGTTTTCCTAGCTCTTGCCAAAAAACCTCCTTGTTTTCTCATTGAGATACATTGTAAAAAGCCGGAACTAGAAAAGTATTGGATTAAGGACAACAGAAAGGCCAAAAGCAAGAGTCAAGTTTTGAGGGAACAATGGGAATTAAGCGCAAGAAAAGCCAAGTCATGAGTTTCAGAAAAATGATAAGAGAATGAAAAAATTGCAAACTATAAAGTAGAGTTGAGTCAATGATTTGCTTAAGAGAAAGATTTGGCAATTTTGTTGAGTACTGTTTTCAATTGTTTCGTAATTGGTGTCGAAATTTGCCGGGGGCATTTTGGTGTTTGACCTGATAGAGTGGAGTGGGTGTGGGGAAAAGGGTGAACAATAAAATAAGGGACGGGAGGGAGGGAAAGATGTCTAAAGATCAAAGCATCAATCGACCATTCCCTCTTTTTACCAATGACGAGTTTAATAGGAAACTTGAGACTCATCAATTTTTTTGGGGAAATGAGAGCTTATAAAGAGCATATGATATTGTTAGATTAGTTGTTAGAGAATTGTTTGTAAGGATGAAGGCCAGATTTGTATCTAAATTCTAGAGAAACCTCAAAACTCAGTTTTAACACAAAATTCTTTAAAATCTTACGTTCGAATAGTTCGAAGAGTTCAAAAACCAAAGATCCAAGAGTTGTTCAAGGACTTTGTAAGACTAGAACTTGCTTAAGGACTAGACTAGAACTGTGAGACTCAAGGAATAGAATTGTGAATCGATCCGAATGAAATCTTGCTGATTTCGTGACAAGTTTTCAATTATGAGTAACTACAATGACTAGTATCAATAAAGAATAAAGGCTGATCTGTTTAGCTAATGGCTGTGAATCTAGAAGCTTCGAAAATATTGATCTCTGTGCAAATAGAAGCAATGGTCACCTAAACTCATTGAAAGGCGGAGTCTAGTGGTCAGCTGTGAGACACAAACACGATATGCAAATATGAGGCAAGGAAGCTGTTGTAAGATGAAAAGAACTCATTAACCATGAGCAAAATATCTCATGGCCATGATCAAATGTATTTCAATCAGTTTATTCCACCATGTACAGACAATGTGAGTTTAAAGTGTCAGAGTTGGGTCATTTGTTGTCAACATGCCAGTTAAATCTCGGTTAAATCTGTTCATTTGATGGCAACTCGCGAATCTTTTTCACTTTTTGCACTTCTTTTTCATTTCTACTTACTCCTGAGTTTCATTTCTACCCACTTCACATCTTGTACAACTGAAAAACTGGGAGTGTCAAATGGGACAAATGCTAACCTTTTTTTTGCGCACCCGGACATTTGCGCACCTTTTTTTTCCGCACTTAGCCCATTAGCGCACCTTTTTTCGCGTTTTAAAAAGCTCTAAAAAGCTAATATTAACCAATTTCTATTCCAAATGTTTTTTTTTTAGGTAATTTGAGGGTGTCGAATTCAAATTTTGACATAACAGAGCGTGTGAAACCAATTTGAAAGACAAAACGGCTAGATCAAATTACAGAAAATTGTCGATTTTTCTCTTTGTATAACTCCGTCCGTTTGTTTCCACAAGCTCTGATATGTCAAAATTTCGATTCGACACCCTAAAATTACCTAGAAAAACAACTTTTGGAATAGAAATTGGTTAATATTAGCTTTTTAGAGCTTTTTTAAAACGCGAAAAAAGGTGCGCTAATGGGCAAGGTGCGGAAAAAAAGGTGCGCAAATGTCCAGGTGCGCAAAAAAAAAAGGTCGCATTTGTCCCACTCCCGAAAAACTAGCAGATAAACATAGCCGATCAAAATATTACGATTCTCCGGCCGTTAGGAAGCAATTTTGAGTCCATTTCTTTAAGTTCTTCAACAATCTTTTCCTAAACGTGTGTATAGAAAGCAAATATTGTTGGTTAAACATTAAGATTAGCAAATTCCTTTTCGGAAAATTCTTTCTTTGACGAGAATCTCATAGTAAAATTCAGTAGATATTTTAATAATTTGGAATTTGGAAATTTTTGAGTGAAAATAAAGCCACCAATTTGAAGAGATTTTGAAATGTTCTGATTATCTGATTTAAAATATCGAGACATAAAAATCAGCTGATTTCAGTTTTTAAATAGGCTCAATGATTCCTGGAAAAGTTTAAACTTCAATTTTGCTTAAATGCCTTAGCTTAAGCACTTAAATTTTGCTAAGTAATCTGTCTGCTAGTTGAGTATTTTTTAAAATCTTTTTACTGAACTTTGATATGTTTATTTCTGGTAAATTGGAAGAAGTGGCGGATATTTGAAATAGGAGAAATGTTTTGAGCGTGAACATAACGACATCGCAAAGCCAACAAGGAATATAACATCAATCAAATGAGAAAACTATGAGGAAACATTAATAAGTAAACGATTTTAACTCTAATTGATTGATTCGATTCTTGCTTGCTGTTGAATGGGTTTAATTTTGGCTAAATCTGATCTAATCAACTTCGTTGAGCCAATGATTCATTGAGAGCGGCAATCTGTAAGAAAAACCTTACAGTTAGATTTTCTTAAAGTTTTCAAAACTTATTTCAATTGTTTGTATACTTAGATCTTTATCTAGTTAGCTAACATTTTCCAAACAAACCTCTTCTTTCGCCTCGAATAATTGATTGTTCACAGTGCCGAATCGAGTAAGCAACTAAACGAAAAGAGTTCATTATCCCAGTGCTTTGTTGCCGTAACTTTTTCAAGAGATAACAAGTTTCATTTAGCTTTTCTGATATGGTTTAGACAGCTATAAGCTAAATCAAAGCTGGCTTAGTTGCAAGCTAGAGTTAAGTTAAGAGAAATGAACCTAACTTCGGAATCTTTTCAAGAGCAAAACGATAACTTTGACTCACTTTCACTTTCTCGTTTCGTTCTTCTTTGAGCTCGTTCTCGAGTCGCTGCTTTTCCAATCTCATCAGTTCAATTGCACCATTTGACGAGCGCACCTTCTCGATTTCAGCACTGAGCTCTTCATTTCTCTTCAGACTTTCTTCGGAACTTCTTTTGTAGTTGTCAATGGCTTCATTCATCGTCTCCACTTGCTCTTTCCACTTTTGAGAGTTTTCCTTCTAAAAATGATTCCAGTTCTTGTTTTTAATCAAAACAATTTTCCCTACCGCTTCTCGTGCCTCCTTTTCCATTTCCACCATCCGAATTTTCGCTTCTTGAAGTTGTTGTTGGAATTGTTCTTCAGTCAACTTCTTGTTTTTATCTTTCTCTTCACATTCTTGCATCAAAAGTCGATTTTTATTTTGCAGTAGGTCGACATTTCTTTGGAGCTCGTCACTCTTTTCATTTGCTTCTTTCAATTTCTCATTGAAGTGCGACTTTTGGGCTTTCTTCTGTTCAATTGCTTTCTGAAAGTTTTGAAATAATGAATTGGCTGAATTTGGAAATATTTCATTGAATAAGAACCAGAAATGAACCGCTCAAACCTTGAGATCCTCCTTCAATTCTGTCACGGCAGTTCTCTTCTCATTCAAATCGTCTTGGAGCTTCTGGATGCTTTCTTCTTTTTCTCGAAGCTGATGGTCGAAGCTTTGTGCGGAGTTCTCAGTGAGTTCATCAAGCTAAATAGAGTAATGAAACAGTTTCAAAAACTTCAGTTGTTTGATTGATTTTGCTATCAAGATAACAAGATGCTCTTATTAAAGACTGGCCTTGAGCTTTAAATCGATCGTCTGTCTTTCAACAACTCGTAGAGACATTTCCTTATCTTGGAGTTGCTTCTTCAAATACTCAACCTCGACGTCTTTATCGCTGATTTGCAAGTCCTGTAACAAGAAAATCGATTTTAAATGTTTTTAAGCATTACAGGTCCAAATGGTGCAAAAAGTCTGGCAGAAGGATGTGGGCTCGTTCGATAATCTCTTTTCCCGACCGGTGTTGTAACTGAATTGTATTCTGTTTGAGAAATGATTCGAAAATTTTTACAAATCAAGGCAAGTGGCTCTTTTGCGAGTGTGGATGTCGATGGGTATTCGGGAGCCTATAAATACATGTTTGCAAATTATTTTCTAATGTTTACCTTTAGCAGATCTTCTTCCACCTCATCAGCCGCTTGTGGCGATGATTGAGCCATTGATTCGGTTGATTCTTGGGTGTTGGAAAGAATCTCAGGCTCATCGTCGGGGTCCTTTTGTGGTTCAGTAC